TTCAGTCTTACCTTTTGTGGTCAGCGCATTCAGCCGTAGTGTGCCCGTCGTCCTGTCCCACTGAATTTTGCGGGAGTAATTCTGGACTCTCTTGTGTCGCCACCCTCATTCCTCCAGTCGTAATACGCGCTTGCGCGCGAAATAGAGTGGTGTGTGGCGTTGATATTGATTTATTTTGTTTTTTGTGTTAAAACATGGTGCTTTGCAGCACATCTTGCCTAGCTATATCCCTCCATGGGTATGACCTTATCATTGAGTTGCCACTAGTTATGTTTCCGCGTCATCGGAATCACCTTTTGTCTCAATGGTGGTGTGGGGGGTCGAGTCGGGATATTCTTACAGCTCCTCTTTCCTTTGGATACACTTGTGAAGAGTCATATCTTTCGATTCATGATCCTAAATCACCAGCTATTCGTAGCCTTAGGATTTGAGTATAGAATCTGTATATATGATCTTCAGGGTGGGTTAGTGTTAAGGAGTGTTGCTGTATGGCACAGATAGGGTACACGGTCGGTCTAGATTAAGATGTAGCATGGATCAAAGCATTTGTTGGATTTTAGCTTTTTCAAGCGGACATCAACGCAGTAGTATTTTAGCAAGCTTACGAACACATATAGGATACCATCAGGATTGTCATTGGTAAGTTGAAGAGGAGATACTTTTACGATGTAAATGACAGTAGAAATAAGTCCTACATATGTTGTTGTACTTCGTATTGGTTTAATATTCATGTAGAGTATGAGACATTAAGTGAAAGTTTTCTGAGGTACATCTGCAATTGTCGGAAGGCAAAAATAAATAAATAAATAAATTAAGATGGGGGACGTCAGGAGGTATACCCTCTTAGGACGTACCCCATCGGGAATTTGCTATCTGCGTGCCCCCAGGTTGAGGGCAATCCGCCTCGCCTCAGACCTGTAGCAGACCCGCTTCTGCAATAACAAGCAACCTTCCCATCTCAACGTGCTCGTGGACAAGAGTGTCTACGGCAGAATCTACATCTACTACATCTAGGAGGCAAGCCACCGTCGGGCGGGCATTCCTTTAAACTTGGTCATGAATCCCTTTCGACTTCTATAGATGCCAATATGGACGCCAACGCGTTGGGGTCCACTTACGTGTTGGTGAGTAGGTATTTCTAGAAGTCGGGAAATTTATTTTTAATCCCCCGCCAAATTTGTACTTTTTCTCCTGCTTGCAGGCCCCATTCCACCCGAGCCGGGGAATCTTGCGGAACTAGAGGTGCTCTACCTTTGAAGTACAGTCGAGGGGCCTTTATAGTGTCGGTTGAACAGTGCCGGGTGCCCGGTTTAGTGCCGGTAAAATCTCCGGACACACGCGGAGCCCTCAATAGTGTCATCCCGGCGCTTTTGTGAGCATGCCCGGTATAGTGCCGGTTGGGCGCCACTGTCACCCTCAATAGTGCCGGTTCATCCCCCCGCGCGCACACACACAGCACACCTAGCTGCTGACACGATGACTGTTGGATCTTGGGAGTGTACGATCATCAAATTGGGAGATGCAGCATACCACGATATCCTGGCTTCGGCTGGGCTTGAAATAACCCTTTTGCTGTCCTCCGCTCTTTGCATCAGTGGCTTCCTAGGTTCGGGCGAGGGCATGTGTGAAGCTGAGATGTGTGTCTTCGTGAAAGAACATGTAGAGAGAGTCGTATTGGCATTCGCATCAAGCGCATTGCGCATTTTTCGAGTTTTGGCCTCCTTCCAGGGACCTTGATTTTTACCCGCTGGCACTGACGTCTTTTAATTGGTCAGCCGGTTAGCGCGGTCGATGCTAATAATAAAAACACACACACAGACAACCAGGCAGAGGACAGACTCCTCTAGACAGAGGAGTAGGGTACAGGTTCTGCTGCAGACCAGAACAGCTCTACGCAGGGGCGTACCATGCCGTGTGCGGAAGGTGAACTGTGCGCTCAACAGGATAAGACGCCGCAGGCCCCACAAGGCCACCCTTTCAAGGGAGGATGTGGGGGGCGGCTCCACGGCAATTGAGGCAGCATGTTTGGCGACAACGAACAGCACCGCATTTGCAGTGCGTGCGTCGCCAAGGACGGCAAGCGCAAGGCGCCAGCAGCTGACACCGGTGGAAGGGGACAATCTAAACGCCCGAAGGTCACGAATGGGGGGAGTAAGAAGTCTCAGTCTTCTCGTAAGGGTCCTCGTGCGCGGCCGGATTTGGACGCCAAGCTTGAGATGCTGAAGCTCATGGATGCCAAGGTCACTCATGAGCAGATAGCGGGCCACCAACATGGTTGATACCTTCACGTCGAGCAGCTCCTTCCTGTAGTTGCACTTCGTCTTGGCTATGATCCTCGTGTCCATGGGCTGGTGTGTCGGTGCGTGGTCCGCCACCGACACGTTCCGCAAGTGGTGGCGTGACGTCTTCCTCCCGTTCGTTTGGCGCTTCACTCACGAACCTGTGCTGCTGCTGCTGATGGACGGCTGTTCGTCTCACGGTGATCTAGTGGATGATCGGGGGCAAGCTACCACCAAGTTTTACCCTCCGCTGTGTCCGCTCGCATGCCGATGAGTCATTGATCGTCACTGGGTTCGTCTAACACCCGCTTGTCCAAAAACGAATGCATTACATTTTCTGCGCCACCTGGGACCAGGTGCTTTGTCAAAGCCAACACGCTTCCGGAGGAGATGGCGGCTGAGCTCACCAATCAACATGGAAAGGTTCCAGATCGCCGAGCCTGACTTGAAGGCTCTCACGGAGACTGTCAAGAAGTGAGCACGAGCGTGCACGAGGCGCAGCAGCAGGGATCCCGAACCGAAGACGAGGACATCGCCGAACTGTTGGCAGAACTCCGCATCGAACCCGGAAAGCGGATCGAGGAGGAAGCGGTTAACGCGATTTAGGGGTGGGCTACTATCGAGGACAATGGTGAAGTCGTTGAGGCTATCAGACTGGATACGGTGGACGACATGACGGCACAGCTGAATGGGGTGCACGTGTCTGCCGGCCGCGAGGAGGAGGACGAACAGGAGGAGGACAGGGGCGATGAGGACACGGGGCGTGTGCGCCGTGCCCCACCGGCGTATGGTGAACTGTCGTCTTACTTCGGCGTCCTGGAAGCGGCAGCAGAGGAGAGTGGCAACGGAGAAGCGGCGCTCTATCTAGCGAAAGCGAAGGTGGCGATGATAGTAGCGCATTCCGCTACGCGATGCGCCAGGTGGACATGAGAGAATCTGTCGCGACGTAGCGAGGATGCGGGTACAGCTGTAGCAGTGGTTGTTTTCTTGCGGTGCGCTGCCTGTTTTCTTTTTGTATTGCTTTTTGTTGCAACATCGAAGGGGGTGGGCCAGGCAGACCCGAGAGAATTTGTCGCGACGCAGCAAGGGCGGGGGTTACAGCTGTAGTTGTGTGCTTTTGTTGTTTTTTCTTTGATGCGCTTATAAAATGGTTTTGTTTCTTGATTTTCATTTTTCAACATCGAAAGAGGGCAACAAAGGGTGAAATTTAACTTTACGAACGAGAGCTTTTCAAGCAGTTTGTGCCGGTCACAGCCAACTCGGGTGCACGATGTGTGTTGCCCTTTCGCCGTCGACTAGTCTTGGTGAGGCACTGCTGTAGNATGCGCCAGGTGGACATGAGAGAATCTGTCGCGACGTAGCGAGGATGCGGGTACAGCTGTAGCAGTGGTTGTTTTCTTGCGGTGCGCTGCCTGTTTTCTTTTTGTATTGCTTTTTGTTGCAACATCGAAGGGGGTGGGCCAGGCAGACCCGAGAGAATTTGTCGCGACGCAGCAAGGGCGGGGGTTACAGCTGTAGTTGTGTGCTTTTGTTGTTTTTTCTTTGATGCGCTTATAAAATGGTTTTGTTTCTTGATTTTCATTTTTCAACATCGAAAGAGGGCAACAAAGGGTGAAATTTAACTTTACGAACGAGAGCTTTTCAAGCAGTTTGTGCCGGTCACAGCCAACTCGGGTGCACGATGTGTGTTGCCCTTTCGCCGTCGACTAGTCTTGGTGAGGCACTGCTGTAGCCCGAAATG